TTTTCCACCGGTGCCGTTCAGATGTCACACTCATGCATACAAACACCAGTCTACTTTTTTTTTAAATTAGGAGAGTGGAAAATAAGAATTGTCCTCATAACTCGTACACTCTGAAACCTTCGGTTTCTACTTGTAAAACTGAGACGGACGGGGAAGAAAGTACGCTCATACACATCTGCGTTATCATGTTTTTTCTACTAGTAATATGAAAGGTCGGCATTTCGTGTGGTTTCTTACTACTATGATTTGTCTCTTTTTCTTTACCTCCTTGGCTGCTGTTCATTGTCTCGTGTTATTTCTTCCCTCCGTCTCTACCCCTCTACATTTCCCTGAACATTTATTTTACTGACCAGATGATTTCAAGCTTTTTTGGGCGCACTGGTTTGTGTACTAGGAGGCCTACTGAGACAATAAACTAACGAGACTGCAACTGCCTCTAATTCCATGTCTAGGAAAAGTGGTAGGGAGGTTTGATTTTGCGGTTTTCGCTTGGTTTTCTTGCAGTCTTGATCCGTTGTCCATGCTTTACCACCAGCGTAAACTGATAAACGCGAAACTTTTGGCCTGTCGCTGACTGTTAGTGATACTTGCATGGTTGGACACCCTCGATAGTGTTTATTGTGGATGGCAGGTGAAAGTCAGATTGTGAGGCCGCCCCGATTGGGAAACAGGTGCCCTAAGGTGAGAGGATCTTGGCATAGTGTTAATCCTTTTCATGCATCTAACTCTTGAACCATGGAATCTACATGGAGTTTGCGTACCCTTGCCAGTAATGTTTTAACTTTGTCCATGAAAACATCTGAGAGTTATGAAATACATTAAGTAAGCAGTGAACTGACTTTGAGTACAATTTAGCGTATCAGGCCATGGGAAAAGGACTTTAATACGCTAGTGATGAGAAGTTTTGGAAATAGTGCACCTTTGTTGTTTTTAAGTCCTTTATTTAAGTGAGGATCGAACTCTGGGTGGTTGAAAAAGCTGCCTTGGACACAAATGACGAGGTTCCATTGCACTTGTGTATTTACCAAGCGCCAGAAGTAACGTTCTCGCTCCATTTCGGTGCTGTTCAGGTAATATGGGGCATAATTTGATCAACGCGGTAGGAAGTAGGAGAGATTAAGCAAGACGTTCAAGAATGAAATTAGGGGCATAGAAGTAATCACACTCGTGGCCTGTTGCGTTCAGCTTCTAGGTAAAAGCAGTTTTTTTGCACGGAGTTATTGCATCAGCTCTGTCAAACTCGATATCGGTGCTCTAGCTCATGTTAATCAGTTGATAGCCCACACATGGCACCATGGTGGCTGTCCTTGTCGGGATATGTATGCGAAAAGCTATACTCTAGCCTGCGGACGCTAAGATTCGTGCAAGGGCAACTTTTTCCAGGCGTTACTTAAACAGCTAATAGTCTTGCGAGTTTGCTTGCTGAATTTAGGTGGACAGACATCCGAAGGAAATCACCAAAATCAAATACACTAGATTTCTGTTTGAGGCTAAGGTTAGTCACAAATTCTGCTGGTTTTACGACTTTTTGGCTGGACGCTAGCATGCGATGAATTTTCTTAGATTTGCCTACCGTCTAAAATATTTGCATCACACCGTGCTGCAGCATAAAATACTAGCGTATACTAGTCCGTTCTGAGCATCACAAACTTTGAGCATAGGTGGTAATCCCGAACTGATGAGGATATGCATCATAGTAAAGTCATACTATGAGCCTAACGGTTAAGTAGATAGAAGGAATGTTCAAGACTACATGGCCACTAAAACAACTTACGCCGGTCTACATGGCTGTTTACGAAACAGATAAAGCATACTCGAAAGCCTTAAACAGCATCCCGAACACAATGAGCAGTCACATATTCAACCTTTTAATCAAGGCAGGAACCAAAACTTTCAGTCGTATCTAATGGTCAAGTGTGCCTCTAAATGTAATGCTTCATTTACGTCAGCGTGTTGGTAAACTTCAAGTACAAGGACCGTTATGTGTTGATACTGTTGAAGTGCTAAACTTTGCCATTTTGGCTACCGTTTCCGCAAATTAAAGTATGAAAATGTTTTGATAAGGCACCATTAGGCGAACCAACAATCTATTACAATGTACATCGACTAACTATTCATTGGAAAGTTAGTTGAGATTATTTAATCGTATGCTTCTGGCATCGTCGCCAACAGCTGGTGACAAGTAATTGGGAAAGGTTGCAATAATTCTCTCAGGGCAGGGTTGTCATAGCACACGCGCGCCAGTGGAGCCTGGGACTGCAGCCAGCATCAGAAACTCAACGCACTTGGCAGATGTCCAGTGGCAGAGTCTCCAGGTGGCTCCGGAGCCATAGACGATTGCAAAGCAAACAGCCATTCTGCATTATCGTGCGAAATAGGTAGCGCATAAGGCGAAAGGGGAACCACGCACAAGCCTAACACAGGAGGACGCTTTCATTGGAGAAAATTTACAAAAAAACATCATAGAAGGCAATGCCGTTGACTAGTTTGACGGCTCACTGCCAGCTGCAGCTGAATGAAAAAAAAAACGTTTCTATGAGGATTGTAAACAATCGAACTTCTGTGTATAGACGCATTTCATAAATTCATAAGTTGACAGCAAAAATGTCAACGCAACGAGATCCTCACACCTACTGTACTCATTGGATTTCACTGTCGAAAATGCAATATTCACCTAACTATTTTAGTCTCTTACGGTATGCATTAAGGAGAGCTGCGTAGTACTCCACAATATCACTCCACTCTTGCAATTTCAATAGAATTGTTAGTATCCCTTAGATGTTAAGGGTAAGTAAAACACGAGTACATTCTGAGTGGAGAGAAGTCTTATTATCTCTTCCACAACTCCATGTCGGTCAAAGTGACAGCGGCGCGACCACGAGGCCCAGGGGTGTGCGTTGACATTGCGAGGCGTTTGGTCTCTCCATCTCGGCACAAACCATCAATTCACCCATACATGAATCGTATGTACAGTTTAACGTCCTCCATACCACTGTTTGGAGACGCCCTGCTGGCAATTAAGAAGGGAAGTTGCATATCTTTGGCAACGAAATCAACTTCTTTTTATCAACTTGCACTAAACATTGGCTCCAAAACTTCGGGTGGGACTGCTCTAAAGTGTTTATGACTTGGCAGCCATTGTAAAACATTATTGCTATTTTGCGCAACTGCAAAGTTGCATTAGGATTGTAATTTTACAGCAAATAGCCATACTTGTGCACTGAGGCACGCCTATTTAATTATACCCCTGCTCAATCATGATTTCTTCACCAGGATCAAAAGGCAGAAACATTAGACTTTTGCAATACTGGGGAAAGTTCAACTGCGTTTACCCATCACTGCCTCTTAACGATCTAATAATGTGTCAAGTGCACGACCTCTGGATGAGCAAAGCCTCCAATTTACAAACACCGAGCAATTGGTTTCTAATGGCTTTAAGAGCAGTAAAGGAAAGGAATGACTGGGTTGGTCAAAACTATATCAGGATTCAGGTTTAGGCAGTATCAGCTTTGTCAGTAGTACGAGAGGTGGAAGGATGTAATACTTTGCTCGACTGCCGGCCGAGTGAACCGGCTCTTACTGACCATACCAAAAGCCCCACCCTCGCCTCTTTCGCTGAGTGCGTCCATGTTCTGTGACTCTATGCTAGGAGTTCCACGCAATCAGTTAGCAAAACACGATGTCTTAAACTGCTCATTGACACATAAAGATTATTTTATCCTAAAAACACCCTATTGTTCTTATGATAAAGCATTTGAAACTATTCTAATAATAAAAGGAAAGTTGTTTGGCTGACGACTAATACATCCTACCACGACACACCTTATCAAAGGAGGATTTAATTACTTTTCTTTGATTTTTTTTAAGCAGTTACTAATGTTTGTGAAACGCTCATTTGCACCCAGAAGCACAACTTTTAAATTTTCTTTGCACAGGCCTGTCGCGCTATTATGGGAATGTACAACAAGAGCAGCAAAAGATTTCCTACCATGCAATCAATGCATGCAATTCGTCGCTTGAGCTCATCGCCTTCAGCAATTTAAAATTTGTGTGACCACTACAACCCGTAAAATAGATGCGAAAAGCGCATACGTACACAGTCGCAATCCTCTCTTAAAGCAGGGAATCAAGAGCAAGACAGATATCAAAGTAACCGCCAGTTAAACGAGTGGTTGCATAAACAAAACGTTGCACTGCTCCTCCTCTTTTCTGAGTGATGTCCTCGACGCTTCTCTCGACATACTGCCTAAGCCAGCCAGCACAACATACCTGGTGCCACGAGCCAGCAGCGCCAGCCGGCTATCATGAGCCTGAGAGATCGCACATGGCCGTCTCAGCATCTTCAACCGGATCTGCAGTTACGTTCGATCAGAGAACGGAACTCATAGAGAGCAGGTTCTGCTGAGCGCCAATCGTGCTGGGGAAGCGATGATGAAGCACTGGCCCAAAACGGGTGTTTAGCAGGCAAAACGGTATCAAACATAGTCCCTCATGGAATGTAATTCGATGCAATGTTATCTCAACAATTTATACGCGGATGTGGTAAAGAGAACTCACATACAGAATTTTTCAAGATAGTTCACGACAATGTTGCTTCAGTTGTTAATAGCTTGCTTGAAGGTCATCGTAATGGAGTAGAATCACACACAGAGGTCAATTTCAATCCTTCTGATGTGTGGAACTTAAAAATCTTCCAGCTGAAGTATATGCACTTCCTTCGCACTATAGAATTATTCCAGAAACGTTTGACACCAGAATAAACGTTGCAACGAAGTTGGTTTGTAATCCATTGCCATCATTGTAGTGTCCTGAGATTCCTCGCTAGGTAGAAGGAGGCCTTAAACG